GGGCAGGGCAGCACCTGGCAGGTTCAGGCTGCTGGGGCGTTTGGGGAGGGCGGGTCCCCTCCTGGCCTGGGGACTCGTGTCATTTGCTCAGTGACGTCCGGCTCCAGAGCCTGCTTGTTCCCCACTCGGACCCTGGCCAGAGGGGGACCCGGCCTCAGGCTGCAGGGGTCAGGAGGGGGGCGCTCCAGGGCCCGTCCCTGCTAGAGTAACAGGATCGCCTGGGAGGGACTGTGTCCATGCGGACCTGTTGGTGCCGTCTCCCCGCCCCGGACTGTCCCATTTTCACTGCTGGCGTTGGGTGGACACGCCCCGGCAGCGCTGCTCAATGGCCAGTGCAGAGAGCTGCCAGGGGTCATGGGGGCTGCATGACCCTGGGGTGTCTCTGTACCAGAGGGGGCAGGCTCCAGTGTCCCCCCCAAGCCGAGTATTGGACGGCCACCCAGGAGAGATTCAAATGCCTCCTGGCTGATTAGCACAGCCGGCAGCGTGTGTTTTTCCTGGTGGTGCCCATTCGCACATGCCTTGGTGCACAGAACAAAATGTATTCCACACAGGGATGGACAAAATTAGAGGGAACATTGGTGGGCTCCCGGTCCCAGGCAGGGGCTGGTGTCCTCTTGCTTGGGAGGGGCAGGCGCCGCCCGAGGCATAACGGCCACTCTGCCTCTTGCCTGAGGCACATCGCAGGCCAAGGGCTACCACTGACCCCACTGCAGGCGCCTGGGCTAAGAGGATGGGACGGATCAAGTTAAGGAGGGACCACACGAGAGAAAGGGGATGGGGGGAGAAAGCAGGGCCCATCTGGCAGCTCCTTAGCACGTGTCTCCCTGCCCAGCCGGCTCCCCCGCCGACGCCAGCCCCACGGCCCCTGGGCGGCCTACCTGTGATGGAGGAGCTGCAGGGCACGTCGCTGACGGTGCCCTGGCTGGTGGCGCAGACCAGGTAGCAATCCTCTTCCTGCCCGCCCGGCTCCTCGTAGCAGGCTGGCTGCACCGAGACGGAGAACTGCCCCAGCGGCTGCCCGTGCTCCGAGACCATGACCAGTGACTCCGCGAAGAGGCAGGGGCGCAGCTCCTCCGCACCTGGGAGCCCAGGTCACCATCACTGCCACGCCCACACCTACTGGGGGCTCCTGCCATTCCCCCCAGAGGCCCAGGACTGCCGGGCACCCCCTTCCAGACACATAACTCAGCTCCGCTCCTCCCTCGTGCTGCCTGACCATGGGTCTCAAACAGCCAGAGACCCACAGGGCAGGGGCAGTGCTACCGGCCCATGCAACACATGGGGAAACTGAGGCACGGCAGGAGGCAGAAACTTGCCACAAAGTCTCACAAGAAGGCTGCAGTAGAGCAGAGGGTCTGAATCCCAGGAGCTGCTCTGACCACTAGACCCTGCTCCCATGGAGAACCAGGGCTCCTGACTCCCAATCCCATCCTTTGGCCACAAGGCAGCCTGTCTCCTCAGTACACCCGAGATGGAAATCTTCCCGGTGCACCACAGGGAACACACTGTGGGTATGTCTAGACTACATGCCTCCGGCGACACAGGCATGTAGATTAGGCTATCTGGCATAGGAAAATGAAGCAGTGATTTAAATAATCACCGCTTCATTTAAATTAAAATGGCTGCCGCGCTGAGCCGATCAGCTGTTTGTCGGCTCAGCATGCTAGTCTGGATGCTCCGTGGTCAACATCAAAGGCATTTGTTAACCACCCTGTTATGCCTCGTGGGAACCTCCTCCCACGAGGCATAACAGGGCGGTCGACAAATGCCTTCGATGTCGACCGCGGAGCGTCCAGACTAGCGCGCTGAGCCGACAAACAGCTGATCGGCGCGGCAGCCATTTTAATTTAAATGAAGCGGCGATTATTTAAATCGCTGCTTCGTTTTCCTATGCCAGGTAACCTAATCTACATGGCTCCATCAACAGAGCCATGCAGTCTAGACACACCCTATGAGATCTTCTTCTCATTACCTCCTTTCCCCCTTCCTCTCTGTTATTTGTTATGCTCACTTGTCACTTATGCTCCTGCTTAACTTTATTCACACAAGAGGCATGTCTACACTAAGAAATTATTTCAAAATAACTTATTTCAAAATAATAACTCCCAAAATAACTGCTGCTTTTTTCCGGCTTGGGGAAATGCCGGAGAAAAGCGCCAGTCTAGACGTGATTCTCCGGAAAAGGCTTTATTTTCCGGAGAATAACGGAGATTTGCCTATTCCAACGTGCTACATTAGCATCCCTTTTCCGGAAGGGATGCCAGTGTAGACGTAGCCACCCTGTGTGGCAGGCTCCTCTGTGAACACATGGAAGGGAGGTCAGAGAAGAGTAAGGAGGCTAAATCTGTCTTGCTGGGCCAAGGAGTTGTAGGGAGGGGCTGGCAAATGTCTCAGGGGTGTAAACGCCAAGGAGGGGGAAGGATCTTCTGAAGACATTACCCCATGCGAGAGTAAGGATGGTAAGTATCCACTGACTGACGATGCATTTTGCATTGACTATTCAATTAGTCGACAGGGGTCCTCGGTCTTTGGAGCCCTAGGGTTCAGTATCAGCGGGGTAGCCGTGTTAGTCTGCATCCGCAAAAGCCCTAGGGTTGTCGCTACACTTCAAAGGCGAAAGCCTCATGTGGAGCCTGGGATCGGCTGACCCAGGGCTCCGTGTGGCGCTGCCACTTTGAAACTCCACATGCAGCCTGGGGACACCCCAGCTGACCTTGGGCTCCGCACGGCATTTCAAAGCGGCAGCACCGCACGGAGCCCGGCATCTGGCCCCAGGCTTCAAGAAGCGCTGTCCCCCCTCTTCTGCCCCCCCCGGGCAGCAAGGGGGGGAAGTGACTAGTTGATTATCCTGTCGACTAGTCCTTCACATCCCTAGTGGTTAGATATGGCTGGATGTCTGGTGCGTGTGTGTTCCCTCTGTGTGCCACCCCAGCCTTGCCCTGACAGCTGGCACAGCAGACCTCGAGCGAGCTGCCCAGTGACCACAAGATCCATTAAGGGACAAAGGCAGCCAGGCAGAGCATCCTGCAGACTCTACCAGGCCACTAATACGTGCATCCTGTAACAATGGACCAACTCAGAGAACGCAGGACTTCCTGTCCCTCCCTAGGCCAAAGACACTGCCTCTGAGATACGTCCTTAGACCCTGATTCATACAGGTTAGTACTGCCCCCAGCGTGGCTAGTTATCACCCAAAGCTTGTACGTGTAGGTTCAATTAAAGCATCTCTACTACGTACTGTCGCCCTGACCTCTTTTCGGAGGTGCTGGTGTGTTCCTGGGGGACGATTTTGTACCATGCAGCAAGATGCTGTGGTACCCCTTGACATCAGGATGTGTTTGTGCCAGCGCTCTGGGACTAGCAGCTCCACCTAGGCTGTATTTCCCTACGTTGTTTATGAGAAGGCCAGGTGAGACAGTACCAAAAGGCCTACTAAAGTCAGGGGTATACCACATCTACCGCTTCCCAGCATCCACAGGGCTTTTTACGGGGTCAAAGAACACTGGTAGATTGACTTAAAAAACAACAAATAGACTAACCACACATGTCGATAGGTTTATGAGCTTTCGTGGTTTGATTTGTTCTTGACAAATCCATGCTGATAGTTCCTGAACACCTTGTTATCTTCAAGGTGGCTGTGAATTGATTGGGATGGGGTGGGGCAAAGGGACAGGTAGGCCTGCAGAAACGATTTGCTAACAGGGAGGTGTTTCTGAAGGCCAATTCTGCCCTGACCTCCGGGGGTGGTCCCCACCCAGCCTGTGCCTATCTTTGATGGCTACCAAACACGCAGGTAAACGTGGGCATCCCTCGCTGCCACCGGAGGGAAGTCGGCAGCTAGCGAAAGCCACAACACATGTGCCCTTGAAACCAAAACCACAGCATCCTCAAGAGCTGGGGTATCTGCCACAACAGGAGGTGTGAAACCAGAAGACTGAACGGTGGGATGCAGAACCATGGGATGGTGAGGCGGGAGGCGGGGGGCTCGGAGAGCTAGGAGTCCTGGGATCTGTTCTCACTTCTACCACGGTCTTGCCATCTGACCCTTCTCTGCCTCAGTTTACCCCGCCATAAAACAGGATGACAGTCTTTTATTGCTAACAGAATAGCAATAAAATAATAATCGGAGTTTACGCAGCAGCTCCCATGCAAGGATCCCAGACAGGACATGGCTGAGCCGCACAGCTAGGGCAAGTTGGATTTTTTTCCACGGAAACCGACAGGTCAGCATTCGACTTTTCAAGGTCTCTGTCAAAAACCTGAATTCCTGAGACCTGAAATCCTTCCTTTCCTGCAGTGCCGCCTGGGAGTTGTCGTTTGGGAACCTCCGGCCCCCGTTTCTCTCGGTGGGTCTAGCTCCCAGCGGAACGTCATCTCGTCTGGTGCACCCGGCCCAGAGAAAGGAGACTCTGGTGCATCATGGGAGATGTAGTTTGACCAGAGAGCTGAGCCAAAGGAGACTGGGAGTGCAGGAAACCTGAACTACAACTCCCAGGAGGCTCCGGCAAAGTGCAAAGTTGTAATTCTGCAGAGCATGGTGAGAGGAGCCCCAGGGAGTCGGGGAGCCCAGTACAGGTCCCGTACGGCACGTTACATGTAACCCACACGCCCGCTGGGAGGGGGGTGTCACTGGCCCGTGGAGTGGCACCGAGACCGCTTACAGATGAGCTTGCTCTGCAGCCATCGCTGGGAGCCAGCTGGCCTTTTGCTCATGCTCATGGACTAAGCTCCAGAGGCCCCAGGTTTGAGCCTATCTGTGGGTGCCTTACGCACACGCTGCGTTTCCAGCCGCCTGCCCAGGTCGCCCAGCGAGCTCCCGCCGCTGGAAACGCAGCGCCCTGGCTGCCCTTCACACGCCCCCTCCCTCTGGGGGGCTGAGCAGGGAACCCCCAACGGAAAGTGGGCGGCACCCACCGAGGAGCGAGAGGAATTCCGTGGCCCCCTCGCTGGCTGCTGGGACCCTCTGCCCCGGGGCTGGCGGGCCCGCCTC